CCTGCTGGAAAGCGGGTCCAGCGTCCCTGAACATTGTGATTTGTAGAGATGCAATTGTAATGGCTGTTTGTGTGAGCAGGCATGCAATTGTAATAACTGCAGGCTACTGGGCGCACCTCTAAGAATGCTGTTTCGGCGGGAGGAGGCACTCAGTAGCCTGTGTTGCTGTCAAGGGAAAATGATAGTCTACACAGATCTCCTGACTTGCTATTAGGAGTCTTGGCCTTCTGCTCCTCATCCCCAGAGTCAGTCACTGTCCTAAACCCTCACACAGATCTCCTGACTTGCTATTAGGAGTCTTGGCCTTCTGCTTCTTCAGCCCCAGAATCAGTCACTGTCCTAAACCCTCCCTGAGCCCTTAAACCTTCTACTCACCGCTACAGGATAGCTCTTAGCTCCGAGGCGCCTGCTGTGCTGAGCGAGCGCTGTTCCCAACAGACGTGTAGACTAAGTGCTAGAGCCCGTGTGTTGCCTCACTGTTATGCGGTGGTGCTGTATGCCAGGCTGCAGTTTGTGTAGAGTGAGTGCTAGAGCCAGTGTGTTGCTTCACTGTTGTGCGGCGGTGCTGTCTACAGGGCTGCAGTTTACTATGCGTCGAGCCATTCTGTCCTGTCGTGTAGCCTACTGTACATTCTATCCTGTCTTGTAGCCTACTGTACATTGTGTTCTTCAATCATGTCTTTATGGTTGTGTCACGGTAGTCTCGTGAGTAGCTTGTGGCTCACACGTCTCACTGTGTACAGCATCCATAGGTTCCTTCCCTGACTTGACTGTTGTTGCCTCCGAAGCCTATCTTTGAGTTGGGCCCCTCTCCCTGCTCTCCTGGTGCTGAATGTCATTGTCACTGAAGCAGTCTTGAAACCCGGTGYGTCCACAGCGGTTGTTGTTGTTCAGAAGTTCCCATTGCTCTCCGGCTGCTGTTTTTCTCTCTTTCTCATTGTCTTCCGACTGCTCCACCTCGTTCTTCCAAGTCGCTGTGCCTCCTCCGCTCCTTTCTTCCGCAGGGTCCTGAAAGCTGTTCCTCGTCATCACTTGCTCCGAAGGTCACCACACTTTCCCAGAAGACGCATATAGATGCCTGGTCTATGTGGCAGGTCCTGCCTGACCCGGGCCAGCGTCGTTATTTTGGGCTCTCCCGTCTACGCCACATGGAAATCGTGCCGGCCACTGCTCGTGGCTATGGTGACAAAATTAGATCGCCTTTCACCTCGATGCCACCCCAGCTGTCGATGGTCTCCATTTGTCCTACGCGTTGACCGAAAAGCGCACTACCGATCGCTACGAGCCTGTCGTAGCGCAAGCGCGCAGGCGGCGACCGGGCATTGCTCCGCTTACTGTCCACTATACAGCACTTCTACCGTGACTGCCAGGCCACCCGATCTTGATGGTATGACGGTGGCTAATAGGTTTGGCCACAGGGCCTGGGTTTTGGCAGCTGGTTGCAAAATGTTGAGTGAGCCTACTTTGGCAGCGGGTTGTAAGAACTCAGGGATATAGGTTGCTCGTCGTTGTTTTGTTGATCTTCCCAGTCTGGCATATATCACACACAGGGGCCGTTTGCGATTGTTGCTCAAATGTTAGAGTCTTCAGGTCACATGTCATAGATCATGGGTTCGAGTCTGTCTTGGGACTTTGGTGGGGGTTCTTGTCTAGCTTGGCCTGTCATCTCTTCAAACGAACACAGAGTTCCCTCTACATAGTACTACACATATCTGGCCTTCAGGCACACATAGCTCGCTATACAGTTACACAGAGCACACATAGCCTTCGGGCAGACACCAAAAACATGGGCCTATGGGCCCATACAAACATACATAGCCTCTGGCCACACACATATACACACAACTACAATACTGGGCTGGGGGCTCTATCAGGTATATGACGGGGTCTACGCATGCATGGCTTAGCTCCAGGGTAGGGTAGGGATAGAAGTCACTCCAGCTAGTCTGAGTTTCGCCTAGCCTTGGGTAAACTAGGGGAAGGACGGTAGGATTACGTAATCCTGCTGCGTAGACTCTCTGAATTGGGCCTGTTGAAGATTGCATGAGCCTGGCGTCCGAAGTTCCCGTACGGCAAGGTTTGTCTGCTTCCGCTTCCATTAGGGCTGGGAGGTTGGCCCAGCCCTGGTGCTTGTCACTGCCGTCTGGTGACTCTGGTCCAAGTTGCCCTCAATACTGGTAGGGTGATGGTCCTGAGTGCTGGTCACACTGAGGTAGGATAGTAGGGACAGGGGGTGCGCTGGGAGTATGAACGTGGGGATGGGTAGGGTAGGTGGCCTATCCTGTCAGGACAACCATTGGCTGCCGCTACCAGCAATCACCGAGGGTCTGGTCCTTGGCCTCTACAACACCCTGGGATTTAAAA